AATGCTACAACTAACCATCCAATGCTACAACTAACCCTCCAATGCTACAACTAACCATCCAATGCTACAACTAACCCTCCAATGCTACAACTAACCATCCAATGCTACAACTAACCATCCAATGCTACAACTAACCATCCAATGCTACAACTAACCCTCCAATGCTACAACTAGCCATCCAATGCTACAACTAGCCATTCAATGTTACAACTAACCCTCCAATGCTACAACTAGCCATCCAATGCTACAACTAGCCATTCAAAGCTACAACTAACCATCCAGTGCTACAACTAGCCATCCAATACTACAACTAGCCATCAAATACTACAACTAACCATCAAATGCTACAACTAGCCTAGCCATCAGATGTCAATGTCTTACACTGTCTTAGCAAATGCTGATAGCTGCCAGGAATGTTTTGTCTTTATAACCGCATATTACAATTACCACAGATTGATGGTATACCTGTTACCAGGGTAACAAGAAAGGGAGCTGATGCAATTCATTTCGTTCAAGAACCAATAGAGCCTGGAAAAGATGTCAAACTGGTTGTTGATTGGACAAGAAGATTTGATAACATGCAACAGCATTCAGGTATTTGAGAACTTAATTTCATGACATAAGTCAGTTTACGCTTTTTTTAAAATTTTTTGTGTTTCATTTATTACCTGTTCTAATTTGATGACAAAAATTAGTTATATGACTCAAATGAATGGTTATTAAATGGTGCAATCTACCATTGTAGATGTAAACTATGGTCATCAAACGTGGTTGACATCAACATGTGACCATGAAATACTGTTTATTGCCAGAGAAGTTTGTGACATTCACTTTGAATTGAATTGACCATCATCATTTGTCATAGGTGTTCTGACCATCATCAACAAAGGTTATGATTGACCTGGTACCATTGGAATTGGTGGTTCATCAATAACCATGGCCATTGTATACTATGGTTGCCCATCATTTTGAACCTCATCACAACAAAGTCTACGAAATATTCCCATATCATATATTTTATACAAATCAACCAATTTATATTAGAATTTGTCTATTTAAGAGTGACTTGCTACACACTCTGCTTTCTTATCACCCCAACAATTTACTTGGTTTATTTGTTTATATAACCATCGTTTAGAGAATACTTTCTAAACACTAACATGTTCAAAATTAGGCATCCAAGTGCCTTCACATTTTTACATTGTTCTTTATAAATCTACTCATAATTTCCACTTTATAGCTTTATTTCACCACTAGATGGCGCTGTTTAATGGTAAGGTGCATTTGTGTCCATGTCTGCCTCTTACCACCATTATTTCTAGTAACCGTGCTCTTACTCAGTAATATATACTGGATGATTTTTTCATTATACCTCTAAGGAAAATGTATCAAGTCTGATGTGTTTTTTTCAGGTCAACATTTAATCACAGCAATAGCTGACAATATGTTTGGATTTAAAACAACGTCATGGTAACGTATCTGTTCATTCTTAGCAAAAACAACGTCATGGTAACGTATCTGTTCATTCTTAGCAAAAACAACCAAGTTTTTTTGTTTGCATTGAGTGAAATGAAATGAAATGACACAATTAAATCTGACACTGAAAACAATAGAATTTATTTGTCTGTAAAAAGCTGTATTGATGTGTTTGAAAATTTTACTAACATTTTCAAACATCTTTCTTATTTTAGTTATTCATTCCTTTCGTTACCTCAAGTGCCTAAGCGCTATCAGCATGATAGAAATAGAGTCCAACCACTGAACACATACTTATATATCCACACAGCACAAAAACTTCTTCCCATTGTCATTTCTGTCTATTATCTCTCATTAAATTATTTAAAAAAATATGTATAAGAATATTGAACACAAGAATACTGCTAAGTATGCACTCTGGTCGTACAGTAACACATTGACCTCCGTGTAATATGATTACCATACTGCCTTTGAAACCAGGGTAATTTTTACTGTTTCTTTAAATCTATGTAGTTTTCTTTATATTTCTCATTACTACGGGCCCGTGCGTTATTTATTATGGTAACCCGTATTTGTGATGTCATGGAAAAGTTTTGGTCTCATGATCGACGCCTGTTGAGACGCGCTACACTGATTGGTGCGTCCCATGATGTCACGCCACTCGGTGTGCAAGAGAAGAAGGTGCAGGACACAGACAAAGATGGCAGCAGCCGAAAACGGGATTGTGTTGGAACCGTGAACACGAACGTGTTCTGGAAAGCACCAAGTCGGCGTACGAAAAGCTGGGAAAGAACTGAGTTCAGGGTGTTGCAGCCCACGGACGAGTTTATGTTATTCCCGTACTGCGAAGAAACCAAAGTGACTGTCAAACTTGAGTTGCACCAAATTTGTTGACGTACAGCGTTGGACTGTGTTGTCGATGACCGAATTGATGCGACTCAGGGACTGATCAATGAGCGGTGAGTGATCTTTTGCAACGTACGGCTCAGGGAACTTGACGTACATCAGATCGAGGAGCCTAGAATCAT